CTTACAAGCCCATAAAGAACTTTTCACCCTGACATGTGTCGTACATTAGTGTGGAAGAACATAATATAGTACCTTGTGCAGTGAAATGCAAGTTGGCTTGTGGCTTTCTGAGTGTTAACATTCAAGCTTTAACCCAGAGCTCCATTTCACCACTGCCACTATTCTCGGAACAGTTTTGCTAGAGAAAAAGCATTCCAGTCATTGTTCCTAATGGCCTGTCTGCTGCCAACTAATAGCTACTTAAGTTACCAGGCATCATAAGGGAAAATCTTTTTCAGGAACTCCTGGGAACTGAGAAGATTTAAATACTCAAATATTCAAATTTAAATACTCATTTCTTAATCTAATTAGGGAACATTTTAAATCTTTATTGAAACATTAAACAATATATGATCATTTTTCATTCTGCAGGATTGCTATCCACCTAATTACAAAGCATCTACATCCTTATTGCTAGCAACTTTTACCCTAATTACAAAATGTGATTCTTCCTTAGGATGAAGCAGTCACAGTATTATGAACTTATGCAGGCAATACAATGCCCCTGACTTAAAATAATTATTCCAGATGCATTCTTACTGACTCAAAAGCAAAATTTAAAAGACATTTTACATATCAATGATAGAACAGTAGAGTACAATGCTTCTAACAGATTCATTGGGCTCACATGTTATGGAGAATACTAATTTCAAATTGATATATGAGGATGGCTATTATCACCTGTGATTAATTTTTGAGCCCTTGGGCCTAAAGACACTGGAAAAAACAAGAGATGATGAAATAGTACTATAATAATTATTATAAAGGTTTTGTTAACTGGATTTGATATTTTCATATTCATTGTAACTTTTAAAAGAAAAATATTTATTCTTTCTGAAAAATATACATGGAACATTGGTTTACTATGAAACTCCTCTGCTTCTAGAAAGGTTCCTAAAAGGTCATGGTAACTCTCTGCTTCATTTTTATTTTTAATTAAAACACTTAGGAACCAGTTCTCTAACCAAGTTGTTCAAAAGCTTCATCATGTCATTCCACTTTTCTGAATTTTTTAATGAGTTCCTGGTTGCTATTTAGGTACAATTTGTAAAAACAATTTTTATATTGAAAAAAGGATCAAATGTGCAGATGATTACATTAAAATTGAATTTATTCAAATATTTAAATATGTTATTCTAAAGTCAATTATTGAATGTTCATATGAACATCAAGACAATTGGTGCTTCCGTCATCATATGCATCTTTGGCTTTTAATATACGCCTATCTAGCTACTTTTAGAAAACACTCTAAAAAGTGATATGCGTTAAAACGGGATTGTTTGCCAAAAAGAAAACTGTCCACTCTAACATTTTCATTCTTTAGAGTGCACAGAAATCCGCTGAAGAAGATATCCATCCATCCTTGGAATTTAGGCACAGGTCATTCAATTGTCCTGAAACTGAAGTAGACACGCCGATCTGAAAAGTGTCTTCTTCCCGGTGTTAAAGTTCCTGTGCTTGTGAAAATCTCCAACAGTGCACGCGGTCAGGTGTCCTTCCCAATAGCCTCAGTGCTTATCCTGGAATCGCTTGAATGTTGTCCAGTTTGGTGACCTTCTCTTCTATTCTTTATACTCAAGCTTTATCACAATTGGGAACATCTATAAAAGCTAACTCTGATTCTTAACAAAAAATATGTCAATGACCCTATTTCCTTTTTATATGAAAGCTTGTATGACAAATACAATGATATTTTGTGACCAGATACCATGCTCAAAGTTTCACTAAAATGTTTTCCAGACTTTTGAACTAAATTCTCTTAACATTAGGAAAGATCATCTGGTGGGATAAGAATAACTTGGTTTCTAAATTTATATAACTGTTTGTCTCCCTGGCTTTGATTACAGTCAATGTTAAGCAATCCTAGATAAAGCATTTGCTTTAGAAATAGCTGATGTTACATATGGACAGAGTACAGAATAATTTTAACATTGGTGTGTTCTTAGCTTGAGAAAAGACTTTAATTCCAGTTTGGGGCCGTATGTAAACAACTATAATGCAACTCTACCACATATTCAGTACTGTCCGCAGAGTGAGACCAAAATAGTGACTAGGCAGACATGGACCTACACTCTTCTAGTTTTATTGCTTTTGTTTTCTTTCTGAATGTCTTTATGCCTCAACTTTAAATTTTCATTTTTGTCCATACAGCTTAAAAATTCTTATATTCATGCAGTCTGAAAATGCTTCTAGAACTAGCTCACAATGTTTAATCATAGATGATTAGATTTTACTTTAAGGGTCATGTCGTGCAGAAAAGTTCAGTAAAAAAACATTCTCAAAAGTGTATGTTCTCAAATCCCCAGTAGTCTTTTAGAAGTATGTATTTCTCCCCCCATGGAAATAAAATTTTACTCATTTTAATTGTTTAAGTTGAATATTACAAAGTATGCACACAGATTATTGAAATCCTCCCACTATTGACATTCTGCAATTTATCTTATAGTATATATTTGAGGACTGCATTGTTGTTTTGTTTTTTAAATCAGATAACTGTTTACCATCAGTCACATTTACAGGAAGAATTGTAATCTCCATAAGTCAGAGTAGAATTATTCAAATCCTGGTCCAGAACATGATAAACAAAATGGGTAAACTTCATGATGTTTAAATAGATAAACTCGATGGTGTAAATAAAGTTCACCTAGAGTTTCACCCATAAGAAGGTAAACAAAACAAAAAGACCTCCCACAGAATAATACTACATACTAGAAAAATAAATATACTTTAATTCTATTTCAGCATACTACGTACTTTGCTGTTTAATTTGAAAAACCTATATTTTTATGTCCTCAAATATCCATACATTGTGATTTACTTTGTTCTAAAGGCTGGAAAAATAGAAGTTGGTAAATGCTTCTCAGTTACTACAGAACCTCACAAATATCCTCACTACTACCACGTGTGCCAAAAAAAAAGCATCACCTTTAGAAGTACCATTTTATTTCCTTAGAGAAAGTTGAGATATCAAATGCTATTTTTATTATTCTTCTATCTGTCTATCATTTGACATATAAAATGTATTTTTTTAAAGGCTTGTATACTCATCTTCCTGAACCAAAGTTAGTTTTATGGGTAGTGTAAAAGTTGTAGTGTCAAAATTAAGTGATAAAAATGGAAATTGGACTTTGTGAGAGGAACTAAGTGGGGTGTATGCAAAGCTATATTGCACTGTTATTTTTCATAATAATAGAAGAATCCTTGAATTACTCAAAAACAAAAACACACAGCTAAAAGGAAATTATTCAAGAAATCAGAATAAAGACATAATTTGATTTATAAAGCTATGAACTTTTCCAAAATAATTGTCCTTTCTTTTTTTTTTTTTCTCTAGTTCTTTTTTTTTTTTTTAATCATTTTATTGGGGGCTCATACAATGCTTATCCATACACACATACGCTGTGTCAAGCGCATTTGCGCATTTGTTGCCATCATCATTCTCAAAACATCTGCTTTCCACTCGAGCCCCTATGCCATTGTATTTTTATTTTTATTTTTTTTAACATTTTATTAGGGGCTCATACAACTGTTATCCCAATCCATACACACATCAATTGTGTAAAGCGCATTTGTACATCGTTTCTCTAAACATTTTCTCTCCATTTAAACCCCCGACATTAGGTCCTCATTTTTCCCCTAAATGTACTTCAAAATTAGCCCTAAAGATTGACCATTTTAAAATGTAATATGAGCTTTTGTTTTTTGTTTATTTGTTTGATTTGGTCTTCTGAAATGTTATTTTGTACTGTCACCATTAAAACAAAGTTATTTTTGATAACTATCAGTAACCTTAAAAAAAGATACTCCAATAACTGTATTTTGCTAACATAGTTTTTTTAATTACCAAATTTGTGATACATTATTAAAATGTTAGCATATAAACTGGGGTTAAGAAGTTGTATGCTGTTTATTATTACTATTTTAGCTCCATAAGGAAATCATGAAATCATTTGAAATAAGCTAAAAATTTTAAGTGCCATTCACGCACTAAGTGGAGATTTTGCTAAAGTTATAGCACTTTATATTCCCAGGCAGACACTTTAAAGTGATTATTTCCTGTCACTCAATGTTGTACTTGCAAAATCTCCACTTTCTAAAGAACAGGAATGATGGAGCAGCGGAACAGCAACTATGTTAAGTAACCATCCTAACAACGTAAGGCCACATCTAAAACCATCCTCACATAATTTGGTTTAAAAGTGCAACATCTGAGATATTAGTAAAGTACTTAATAGGTCTGAAACACACATATGGGCTCAAGAAAAATCTGTGTGTGGGAATGCTTTACCAAAAAATCCCCCAAACACTAAGGGATTGCAGACTTGAAAAAGCAAGTGCAAGTAAAACAGTAAGAAGAAAAAAAGGAGAAGAGCTACCATATTTTTGTTCCTGAAACCACTTAAATTTCAAAAGATTTTCCAGCTAACCCGTTCAAACCAAATCTTTACAGAGTACTTTCACTTTGGGAACTTTCCAGATTTTAGGAATGCCCTTTCCTCAGAAGAGCCAAAGCATTGTTTCCGGATGTCTCAGCATCTGTATTGTTCATTCTAATTAGTGCCTCTGAAGTCTAGCTATATCTTCATCAAGTTTTTAACTCTTCCTGTAACATACTCAGTAAAGTTTTCTATCAAGCAAAACGAAACCTGCCTCCCGACGACTTTACCATGTGTAGAGCGACCAAAGGGGCAATCGGTGGGGGTGCTAGCTGTGGAACCAAGCTTGGCAAAGAAAGAAACCAGGAGTCAAAATGACCACGTTTGCTTTACCTGACCCCCAGCTATCAAAGATACTGTAACAACATCCTCATCAGCTGTAGAGTCATTCATAAGAGTCCTAACCCCCAGGGTCTGTTCCCCCCAAGAGTAGTTTTCATCCGGATCAAACTGCAAGGACACTCACTTTCACATATTGACTCCCGAGTACACACACTCAAACACACAAGCACCGAAAGACTTTACCTGTTCTTATGCCGAGTCTTTAGCAAGTTTTTTCCAAAGGGAGCCATGATCTGCTTTGCAGGCTAATTCCAGGACTTTATCTCAAAGTGCTGGGGGTGAAATCGAGGCACGGGCCGGCTACTTGGTTTTAAGGACGGTCTGGACGTTTCCCCTTCACCTCCTCGGATGTTCCGGGCTTTGAGCGCAGTCGCAGCCAGTTAAGAGAGTTGCAGGAGGTTGTGCAACTGCTGCCTAACTTTGAACTGCGGGATCGCTGTGGCTGCTGCACCTTTGGAGACCTGCCCAGACTCAGCCTCAGCCTGGAAGAAGGCGTTTGGAAGCAGGAAAAGAAAAAAAAAGAGAGCGAGAGAGCGAGAGGAAGGGAGGGGGTACCCTATTGTGTTTTGTAGTTATTTGCAGAGTTTCTAAACGTTAACAACTGCCAACCCCACGGGCAAAGTAATACCCACGGAATGGGAATTTCACTCGATGTGGAAACCCCGCTCCCCTGCCTTCCACACCCAACCACACAAGGTGAATTGAACACACATAAAAGGATTAAAAGTAACTGACCCCGCCTCCCAGCCAGTTCCAGTTTGTGGAGAGTAATCTGATCATGGCAAGCGAGAGTGAGGGCCAAGAATTCTTTGCCTTGCGATAAGACACACAAAATCCCCGCTGGGGTGTCAGGGTTTGAAAATATATTGGGTGGAGCGCAGTTGGAGATCGGATCAAGAAGGGCTCACGGACGACTTGGAATTTTAAACCCGGAGTTCATGACCTGAAGAGCTACCCAACCCCCAGCCCATTTCCGCAACAGCTCCACTCTCAAGTTCATTTCCCTGAAGTTCGAGGACCTGAAGGACCAAATGGTTCCGAGGCTGACTGGCCACAACACCGCGATTGGAACCGGCTGCAGTTTAGTGTGGAACTCCGCCGGCAGCATCCTGTCACTAACTAGTCGCTTCGGGGACTTGGGAGGAAAGGGCAAACTTTGCATCAGTGCTCCAAACCCTGTCCACTGGTAACGGGAGCCGAGATGCGCCTAGAGGACAAGGTGGAACTCAAGTGAGGGGTGGAGTCACGGTCTCAGGACCCGGCAGCCATGCGTAGAGCGAGCAGATGCGGGGTGCTGCGCCCAGCGCTGCGCGCACCGGACCCCAGGGCTCAGAGGCGCCCTGAGAAGCCTCAGCCTCCTGTAGAGCCTGGAGCGCCAAGGAATTTCCCAGGACGTTTGTTCCCGGGTTTCTCCCGCTCGGCCCCGCCCTCTGCAGACAGAGAGGGGGGAACCCAAGAAACCAAGGAACTACTCTTCAGATCAATAGTTCTCTGGGCCTCAGCGAAGAATGTGAAGAAACTGGGAAGGACTCACATTTTCCCTAGGAGCTCCCAACCTCAACCTTTCAGAGAAAAGAAAGAAAATAGAAAAGTTCTCAAAGGCTTCTCTGCTTCTTAGATGCAATACTTAGTGGTTTATACAGCCATCTAAACTTTTCAGAAAGAAATGGATTTTTTTCTTTTTTATTGTTTACTACATATATATTCTCTAGTTATCTGTATTGTATATGGATGTATATAACATTGTGTAATATATAAGATATATATGCATGTGTGTATATGTATGCGTGTATTTGCTGTTGTTGTAGGTATGTATTTGTATAGATCCCCAAAATCTTCCTAAATCAGTGTTAGCCCATGTTGCAATTCAGTTTCCTTTTGCCTATTTCTTTGAAATAAAATATTTTTTAAAATCTGTGAAGTTGAATATGTGGCCAGTGGTACCTTTAAAATAGCAAAAATCATAGTTTCAAATTTTATTCTCTATGCTTGGGGAACCCAGGTGGTAGTCTGGTTAAGCCTCGAACAGTTCATTGAGCGTTGTCTGCCTTAGAACTTAGAAAAGTGTCTGAAATGGGACCCAGGGGCTCAAGTGGCACAGACCTAACAATCTGCTTTGGTGAAGAGGACGGCAGCGAAGGGACCCTGTACGACAGCTCTACTCTGCCACACAGGGTTGCTATGTCCTGGGACCAACTGAGTGGCAACCAACGACATGCTTATGGATACATATAAATGTCACAGGAAACATTCATTGCATGAACTGCATTTTTAGTTCTTGATTCTACTTTACAAGCATTTACCAAAAAAGATTTAAACTACTATGGAAAGCTTCCCAGATAATTCTCAAAATACAATCCCCTAAAGCTATGCAGTTTTCTTCTTAAGATAATGATTACAGTCCATTTGCAAAGAATTTTACATTTACAATATCCTTGTAATGTTCCTATAGTCTTGGTTTTCCACCCTTATTAACATTATTTGTGTATACATAGTATGACATATATTATTTACATGTATGTAGTATTTTTCAACAGAAGAGGTTTATTGGAAAAAGAGGAAACAGTATTAGACCTTTATTAGCATAATCTTATGTTGAATTTCAGGTTAGCTCAAATGGGTCTCATTTATGATGTTATTATTTTCACATAAAACATACTACTAATATTGTTCATGACAAGCTCTTTGATGACTCAGAATTAAACAGGAAGGGTTAATGTCACTCATATATTAAAAGCTTTCAGGAATCAAAAACAAAGACATTAGTATTCCAAAAGGAAATAAACAGAAGACAAAGTTAAAACAAAACTAGTCAGGTTTTTCAAAGTCAACTTCCGTAGTTTCTAAATACTCTATCAGGTAAACCGGAACAAAAAATTATTTTGCATCTCCAAATTGGCAGATTTTTAAATTGACGATGATTAACTATGTCAGTATGATGGTCACATGTATTTCACCTGAGTAGTACAAATGGGTATGATCATTTTAGAAATGAATTTGGCTATATCCTTGAATTTTTTAAAAATCTAAAATATTTATCCAAGTTTTGTTCCTACTAATCTATCCTATGAAACAAGGTTTCACAAAAGATCAGCAAATTGGGGGGAGAAAGATGTGGCTGTCTGTCTGTGGATCAGTGACTGCTGGTGGAAGTCTACAGGGCGGTGCTAGTCTGTCCTCCAGTCTAGGGTCACTGAATTGGAAAGGACTCAATGGCAGCGGACTTTGGGGTTCGGTTTCGGTTCTTGTTGTTGATGGTTTCTGTTTGTTTGTTTAGTCTTCATGAAAGCAGTTATCGAGCACTGTCTTCCTTAGAGCTGCTGGGTGGGGTGGAATCACCACCTCCAGGTTAGACAGGAGCCAAGCACAAGTCTGTGTTCCAGGAGAACCTTAGAGCTGCTGGGTGGGGTGGAATCACCACCTGTAGGTTAGACAGGAGTCAAGCACAAGTCTGTGTTCCAGGAGAACCTTGGCTTTCTCTTCCTATCGCTGTCGTCACTGTCGGGAAGCTGGCACTTTGGCGTCTTCACACCCCTTTTGCTTTTGAGTTAAACTTCTCCACGGGGTCTTCTATGGATACACATTACTAGGTCTTTTCTTTCTTGAGGCAAGTGGCTGGATGGGTTCGAACAGCCAACCTTTGGACAAGCAGTCTATCTCAAGTTCCTGGTGCCACTAGGTGCCTTTATTTTCCTATTGGTGACATTTGGCTTTCTTGCCAATAATTGTATGTCAAAAATATTTGGGATTACTTTATGCATAGACAGAATGGAGGGCAAGATCTTGCCATAGCCTCTTATCTTTTACATCAATACTTGTTTCTACTCTAATATAGTATAACACTTTCCTCTCTAAAGGAGGAATAGGCTAAATGGTAAACATTTAAAATATCAACAATTCTTTAAAGCCCTAGCTTTCTAAAATACCAGTACCACGCTCATCCCCAATCCATTCTAATCCCTCCCAAATCTAAACACAAACTCTGTAGACTGGCATTCAAGGCCCTTTGTTATCTGAATTTTCTGACTTCTAGCTCTGGATCATACTACTTCCTTCAGAGGAGGACAATATACTCAGGAGCACGGCTTTTAAAGTTACCTAGTGTCTGGCTGTTGGACTGTGAACCAAAAGGTTAGCACGTGGAAACTACCAGTTGCTCCCTTGGACACAGATGAGGCTTTCTACTCCTGTAAAGAGCTACAGTAGCAGAATCCG